GAATTTTTTCAAAAGTTGCTTCCGCTTGTGAAAAGTTCTGCTCAAGTCTTGGCTATTGAACAGCGAAAATCGCAGGTCTCTATCTCATTCCTATCAAAAGTTATTCAAAAAGCAACCAGCGGTCTGATCATTTGGAACGGATAGTAGTTAGTGCATATTCAACTACTTGTATAATTAATAACTTGTATAATTCAAATTCAAGTTAAGATAGATATGATGACATTCCAATGATGACATTTCTGAAATCCAAAAATAATTTTTTCTAGATTTTCTAGAGATCCGGTCTTCAGAAAATAGAATATAGGCTCTGAGTGTGGGAGGTTTCCCATGGAATCACCCAAATAATTCAATAATATATTACAATTTGAAATGTTTCATTTAGATTACAAAAGTAAAATCATTAAATACAATTCGTTAAAAATACATCATGTAATATAATAAAAGTTACAATGTAAAAATTGAATGTAAATAATATTTTATATGTAGTTAATATATATTCAACAGTAGACATCAAAGATGTCGCTTTTTTCTCTTTTGCTTTATGTCATTCTGTTTGCTTTGATGTGTTTATCTTTCTATGCACACTATAGCAGAGTTGGAACCGGTTGAATCTTTTTTAACCGGACCGGACCCGTCAGTTCAGCTTTTCGAAAAAACCGTACTGGTAGATTTAATGCATAGTTCAACCAGCAGAAAGCCGGTTCCATACTTTAACCTACTGCCGTTCCATTGCAGGTTAAAGTCCATATTTTGTGAAAAATCGCTTTTTTGCAGAAAACTGAGCTTGTCTATTTTCAAAATCTTCCTGTTCTAGTTTTTGCAGCATTAACGTGAGAGTAAGCATTCAGCACAAAGTTCACACCAATCCGGAAAGTTTTACACAGTAGACAATTACAAACACCTTTAAGTAGTAAATCTATTCACAAAATTTGTTACTACAAATTGTATTATGTGTCAACATTGGAGTTATCCCAAAGTCAGCAGTCAGAAACGTCACCGTTTTCATCAGCAGTCTCTATGCAATTATCTTCTGGTACGAAATCATAGAGGGATTTTCTTTGCAGATCTTTCTTTCGTGTTTGTTATTGGTAGCTCACACATTTCTTAATTTTTTAGAACATCGTCTTCTCAACTCTCATTCAGCCTCTAGTGCTCACCCTGACTCGATTCATTCTGTAAGTCACACATCACTCGCTTCGCAGAACGATACTCAACAACAGTTAACGTGACACGTTAGTGCGTCCCATAATGCATCGCCTGTTGATACTTCTGCGGCGCTTCCAAGAAGTTGTTCGGTGAAGAGTGAAATAGCGATAAAATCTACTGTTCAGAGAATAATGAGTTCGTTACCGTTCTTTTCACGTTCAAATAAGAATCTGTTCAGATATCACCTCCATAGCAACTGAAGAAGTTTAGATATCTTTTCTCAAACGTGTTTTTTCACAGCTAATTTTGTGTTGAGTGTTTCAGTATCAAGATACCTTTAGAGTGAGATATAAATAATGGTAAATCTTCGAAATATTCTTTTTGAACAGTACATAGAGTTGAAAAGTACATTAAGCGAGTAGACATAGTTGTATGGAAAGGGGTTCAAATGATAATACTCATAATTTTGAATAACCACAAATAATATTGTTGCTGAAAATCTGCCTGATTGTCAGATATTACCTGAAATTCATAGCCATATTACTAATACGTTCCGTGGCCTTAACCATTTACACCTCAGTTTCGAACAAGTCGAGCATAGTAGATCTCACCACAAAAAGGGAAACACCTGATCTATTATTGCCGTTTCATTCTCGTTCAACCATAACAGCAGTTTAACCCCGTACTAACAGTACCGTTGCGTTCGACTCACCAGATGCATCGAGGGTAAAAGCAATAAACAATGAGGTTCATTCAAGTACACCAGTAATCCTCAGCACTTCTTCGAGAAGAGTAATAGTTGCTATCTTGTGCTATCCATCCCAAAATATAGTGCAGATTGTCATTTTTTGAATATTACCAGCACCTAACACAAGTAAGTCTTCTGGACTGGCGACCTATGAGACAGCATTCGACGAATTATCTGATTGGCTGAGATTGAAATTCTGAACACATGTACAATTGTTTCGATGAAAGTTATCCAAAAGAAATATATACATTTAGTAAATTCTCGAAACAAACATATAACATCGTCAATCGTACGCTCTGTATGTATATGTAAACGTTTAGGCTATGCAACAATTGTTCGATGAATATTATATGATAATTATTTCGTTTATATACAAGGATGAAAAACGAATAAGAGACTTGTACGTTTATGTGGAAGTTCGCTTAGTTAAGCAATACAGGTTTAGAAGACCTTTTTTACTACAATGGTTCATCATCCATGAATGTGTAATAACATTCACCCCAGGTTTTAGTACTGCAAAACGAGTCCGTAAGCCGACATTTTAGACACTATTACAAGCGAAGTTTTGAGTATATATTTGACATACGTTCCATTCACAATAAACAAACGGGTTTTCAACAGCTACTGGTTTATCAAGTGGTTAGACTGAAAATATTATTTGATCTACTAAGTATACGATCAAAATATTCTTCTCAGTATACAATCAATATCCTTCTTAGCAAGATTTTTACAGAGAAAAGCTCTTCATTTCAAGTCCTAGAAGTCACTAAAAGTTTTAATTTCACAACTTTTTCTTTATGGATCAGCTAATGATGCCAATATTTGCCTTCGTTGCCAATTATTATCGACATGTGGTCGTTTTCCATGTGCTGTTTGAAAATTATCAATCCACAATAAGTCACCTGCTTTCCAATCTAAATTATGTGCACAGGACCATGTTACATCATTTATATGTTTCAATTCGTCATACGAAATAATTTCATCTGTATCTCCATAATAACAACCCTGTGGATAATACTGAAATAATTCTTCGTACGGATGTTGAATGGTTAAATGTAAATTTTCATTGATTGCATTCGCATCAGCGGCAATCCGTGGATCCCATCCTTGCACTTGATTAAACCATATCTTTTCAGTTGATCTTGTAGCTGGTAAAGTTTTTGTTTTAATGAGCATATCACCATTTGGATACCAACGTATATCTTCATATCCTACTTGTCGCGCTAACTGCTCAGCTTGCTCACTACTTTGAACACCAAATGCCAATTGCCATGTTTTTGTTATTTGATAGTTGTGTACATCGATTTCAGCAAGACGTTTTTCATCAATAAACAATCGGGAATATTTAACACCGCGATCCTCCAACTGTTTAGTGATAGCTGGATCTATTTTCGAATAAATTTCTTTTGAATCAGCTATTGCGGTTTCACCACCTATTGCTGCAGGTTGCACACAAAAGAAAAATATATATTTCGGTGGTGTTGACGTATATGTTAGCTCATTATGCATAAATAGATGAGCTTGTGGTGGATAAGCTGTACTTGAAAAGGCGTGCTCATAGACTTGTTTCCGGCCAGGAGAACCACCACCTGCAATAAAAATGCTATAGTTTGAGCAAGGTGAGTAAAATTTTATAAACTGTTAACTATAAGCCTGAGATTCTACAACATAAATTCTTAAAGCACATTATATCAGAAGTACAGAGCGCGACGATAACATTCCATTCAAATATACAGAGCATGTATAGAGCGCTCTTAATACAATGACGCATATCGACATTTATGTAAGACGACCTCATCATTATCACATGATCACTTTATTCATATGCACCTGCAAACTAACAATGTGGTACAATATTGTTTAAGAATACATTATACCACTCAGATCATATATAGAAATATGGAAATATATTTTAGATGGGTATCAGCCAATGGAAGATTACAGATAGATGAAAAGCAGAAGTTTAACGCTTAAATTCATTTTCTTAAATTAGTCTTGGATCATATCAAGTTACATACATCTGTACAGTCTTTTGACCATCGAACATATTCTGACAACATTGCAAACAACTTCTGAGTTCAGCTTCTGCTTTCGAAACAGTGGCGTGCCAGAAATTGATGCTCAAAGGCTTAAAACCACTCTTCACTATTATATTCGGAATCAGTAACAGCGATAACACATGTCTACGTGACTTTTATGCAAAAAAACGAGATACCGCTTGTTGAACTTTTCTCGTTAGTTTTACAACCATGTCTGTCATTAACTGAAAGAAGAGATAGCCTGTACAGAACAAGATTTGCATATTATATTCATTGTCATAAAGAAATCGGTTGTTAGTTCTTAGTACTTTAGCTTTAGTGAGAGTAAACGTCTAAGACGCACTCATAGCTGTGTGCAAGCGTTCAAAATGATAGTTGAATCAAAATGCAGTAAGCAACAATTAGCACTTAATCGTTACAGGATGGAGTGAATTGGTAGTTACCTGTGTAGAGCATTTCTTTAAGGTTAATAGCTTTGATGAAATTATTAAAATCATGAACAAGTGGCTCGTTTCCTTTTGTTAACGATGATGGGAAAAAATTTCGAAAGATTAAAGCCCCATGTGTTGATAATAAATCGACTAATAGCTGTTTGTTCTATAAACCACTCAAATGGTGAAAATCCATCTTTGTCATAAGAATGATTTTCAATAATTAAAAATCTCGATGAATTTTTAAAATAATTAACTGTCAAGTTTTTATATGTTTCACGTAGGTAATTCATCGTTCTGTGCTGCGTGATCACTTCTAGTTCGTGTAAAGACGTGTGTAAGTAAGAAGCAACATAGATTAGTTTAACGTATTTATTCTTTTTCTCTTTTTTGTGTTCTCTTTTCTGTTCTGTGTAGATGTGCTTTGATCCATAGATAGCGATTCAAACAAGAATATTGTATGTGTTAGATAACATTGTGCAAATAGAATAGGAAATATCAAATTAAAATATTTTTTTATGCAAAACAACCTTTATTGTCGTTTCTTTTTCTATTTCATATCTTTTTCTTTTAAACTTTAACTCTCATCTCTCAAGTCAAGTCCCATGGTCACTGAAATCGGGTTCGCCCATTGCATCTGTGCCCAAAGGTACCAAGACAATAAGCGTTAGATAGCTTGTCCAAGGCTATCACGCGACCGCCGTTGCGCGGATTCGAACTCTGTATCTTTCAAGTACGTTGTCTGCTCACTAGTCGACTGAGCCACGCCGCTCCTTTCATATCTTTGCTCTTGTTTTTCTCTGTGTCGCCACCTTTCTTATTTCTCTGGTATTTTTTTTTGTTAAATCGATAGAACGAAAAAGCATATGCAACACATAGCACTTCCTTCATGGCATCTATAGATGTCTTACGGCATTCAAGAGAATAAAAAATGTTTTTATGCCGTATAGTGGATAAATCTTTAGGCTTATATTTCATAATTTTTCCGAAAGTTACGACTATTGTTTGTTGAAAGGTAATAATTTGTGAATAATAAGAATGAAACGTATTGGATGTCCCGTTTATTCGATGAGAAAAAAATGATTGTTGACACCCGACGCTCTATCGAGACAAAACGAGTATTTCGATAAATCTTAATATTCTTTTCAATAACCGTAGAATTATTTTATTGATAATAAGCAATGTAAAATACTATTATCGTAGTCATTGGGTGTGCTTTTGAAGTTGTTTTATTATAAGTTGAGAGAATATCAATATCACTTGGTCGGAAAACTCAAACAAGTTCATTAACTGAAAAAATCAGTTTTTTGTGATTTTAGGGTAAAATACAATATTAAAGGGGAATTTTAATCCAGTATCAGATCAAAGTGCTTTTCCATCAAAAAACTATGATTTTATAAGTGATTTTGGCCATTCTTTAAAAGCAACTATGAAGACAAAAGGGCAGATAAATCTATTTTTTATCAGCACAGTAGGCGAGTACTCAAGGGTCCACCAGTCGTGGAATCGTGCCTTACAATAGAGAACAGAACAATTTCATGTTTAAAACGTTCTCAGTTAAAAAATTATCGATAATATATTGGGATCATCAGATGCGTCGACCTTTTAAACGCGTTCTACTCTCTAAAAGAAAATCCGTAGCTTACAAAATGAATATCGATTTTGGCATTTGCACCTAACAGAGACCGATATCTGTATTGTACAGTCGTATTCTTCGAAACGGTTAAGCAGGACTGTACGATATGGATATCGATTTCTACTAGGAGCAAATGTCAAAACCGAAATGTCACCTTAACTTTGACAGTCATATATCTATGAAGTTTTTAATATCAGTTATCCGAATAATACACAGATGACTCTTCAAACAGTCAATGGTGTTCTATTTACATCAGGAGATTTTAATTTGTCACTTGGCTCTCAATATTCTCTAGAATCAGTAAGTTTAGAGAAGCTAAAATATGTGTCAACAGATGAGAGTTTAAATGATCTGCAAGACATCCAAAAAATTTCCACCCTCGCATGCAGAAAGGATACTTCGAAAATAGCCCTAAGATCCAAAACTTTAAAAGATGGGTTAACTTCTTTCACGTAACTTCCCCGCTATAGTTATCTTACTCACGAGGGAAGGTCACCAACTACCACCTCGCGTTTTAGGTCTAAGCTAGTGGGTAATAGGTAAAAAAATGTGCTGAATCCGAATATGACAATGGTTTGGGCCGCTAGGCCTCCAAAGAATGGATTTCTAGAAAACCAGTTTTCGAGAAACTCCAAAAACTCTCCAAAACTTTTCTTAATAAGTTAAAATTGTAGCACGCGAAATTCTGATCAAAATGAGACATTGCAAAGAAATGTCATGTAGAGCTGGGCAATGTCTCATTTTGATCAGAATTTCGCGTGCTACAATTTTAATTTATTAAGAAAAGTTTTGGAGAGTTTTTGGAGTTTCTCGAAAACTAGTTTTCTAGAAATCCATTCTTTGGAGGCCTAGCGGCCCTAATCATTGTCATATTCGGATTCAGCACATTTTTTTACCTATTACCCACTAGCTTAGAGCTAAAACGCGAGGTGGCAGTTGGTGACCTTCCCTCGTCAGTTCTGAACACTCTTCGAATGGCTTAATCAGAATTTTTTTGAACACTGAAGAGTATGGCACTTTTGGCTTAAAGTCGCTTTTTCACCCTGAGGAAAAAGCTTCTCAAAATTATTTTTTTTGCCAAAATGTGGCTCTCTCATTCTCAAGGAGAATGAGATATTGCCAGACTTTTTACCATTTTTCTGTGAAGAAAAACGAATTTTAGAAAAATTGTATGCAGACTTTTGGACACTAAAACTATAGTCATCCTACTTGTTGATCCTATAGCTCCGCCAAGAAAAGTCTCCGCCTAAAAAGAAATTTTTGAGTATACAGAAGAGCTATCGAGGTTTCATTTGGTATATTTGAAATTACAAACAGGTTTATAGTGACACTTGCTTATAAAAACTGTTCTGCTCAATCGATCTTAAATTTCTTTTTTTTATTTTGTTTGCTCAGTATTCGTCATTCACTTGTGAGAAAAAGAACTCTCCATCTCAAGTGGTGCTGAGATACAGATCAAACAAGACTAAAGTTGACTGTTCTTTGGCACCACCTGGAGAAAGAATCAAATTTTTTCTCTGATTTATTTAAACTAGTTCTAGAAGTTTTTCAGTGTTTCTTAGCCTGTAAAGTAGGTTTTCAGAATACGTACGCTGAATTTAAATAAAATCATATTTTGACTCTGGTTTTATCAAAAAATTCTCTTTACAAACACTTTTGCAAAATTCTGTCCACCGAGATTTTTTTCCTAAAAAATGTCCACCGAGACTGTTTTGCCTATATTTCGATCTAAATAACTTAATATTCTAACTCATCGTACATCATACGATTCTTTGACATCGGGGCTATTCGCCTTACATTACAAAAAGCTTATAAGCTTTTTGTGATGTAAGGCGAATAGCCCCGAAAGACAACGTAAGACTTTACCCTAGTCGTCAATTCTTATATAAGAATTGGACGGGAATCTGGTAAGGATCTTCCAAGCTTCTTGTCTGCTTTTGTTAAGAATCTTATCCGATTCTTATCAGATTCTTATATAAGAAGTGGCACGAAAGTTGCACGAATTTCATAAGAATCAGATAAGAATCGAGTAAGAATCTTATAAGAATTTCATAAGAAAGTGATAAGAGTTCTTATTAGTTTCTTGTTGAATTCTTATGAAATTCTTATAG